AAGAGTATGAATGCTGCAATGGGTGGCATAGCAATAATAGCAAGAGCAGATAGAGTCTCGCCCTTTCACCATCGCTACAAAAATCTCCTTTTGCAAACACTGGAGCAGTTTATTTCCAGCTCCCAGCAGGTCTCAGCGGTGTTCAATGCCTCAACAATAAATTTTACCATAACCATACCCTTGCTCCTCTCCTCCAGAGCCCGGAGGAATAGCTGGCATATCTCGCCAGAGCATTGGAAAACAGCCCAGAGTCACATTCCTCAGTCTCTGTGCTCCAAAATACTCTTTTCTGCCAGGCTGGAGTCTTTTAAAACTTGTTTCATGCTGTTTTGGCCCTTGTGCATGGAAGTGTCTGACAGATGTGTAAGTATTTCACAGTGAATAAAGCTTTGAAGGAGTACAAAAATAAAAAAAAACATGGCCAGGATTTGACTTCTCAAAATTAGCTTGGGAAGCCTTTACATTCATGAACACTATGAGCCCAATGAGTGAATATAGCATAAGAATTTAACTTCTAAGGATAGGCTTTCAAGGACAACCTTTGCAAGAAGAGATTGCATTGGATTGTTTTAAAATTGTCACATCCCTTATTGAAATGATTTGCAGAGAGCAAAAGTCTCAGAAATAAATTTTGCATATGTTTACTTTTCTATTTCACACAGAAATGTGTTTATTTCATTGCCATCTTCAAATTTCTTGGATTTTCCTCCTAAAGTTTAAAAGAAAGCTATGTCCCTGTTTTCATAAAGGCTTTAACAGTTCATGTAGGACATAAAAACAAAATAATAGGAATTCGTGATTTTTCATGCACTATATGAAGATATAACCAGAGGCAAAGGGAAACCAAATAATTTGGAGGCCTTCTCATGCTGAACTATTTTTGCTCAAAGAGGTTTCTGTGCCATTTCAAATGCTGCTCTAGTTTTATAAAATTAGAACACTTTGTATAATTCATTAACAGAAAAAAAGACTATATAGTTGGCTAAATTAGTCACGACGGAGGTAATTCAGCTCTTTCTCCTCTTTTTTTTGGCACTGGAGTGATAGTAAATATTAATCTCTGAAAATATAACATTTAGCCACCAATCACTATACTTGGTGATGGGGATTGTTGGAGAAGTGGGTAGCTGGGTCATTTTTGAAATTATAGTGATTTTCCACAATAGAATAAATAGTGATTTAAACAACTTTGCAGAACAAGTTATAGCAGATTCTCCCCAGCTGCCTGTAATTTTCACTAGAGAGTGGATACAATGTATTAAGAAATATATGTAATTCAGTTCTCCACACTGGAAAGGCTTACTCAGCACAGCCCTGAGATGTATGTTGGTTAATGGTCCAAATGAAGGAAGTATACCATAGTGGAAAAGATTTAAAACATCACTATCTATTTGGCTTAGGAGTTTGGGCTTTTTGAGGGATACAATGGGTATGTCTTCAGCTGACATTTCTGATAGTGCAGTGATCATTTGCAGTCATTCAGTAAGCACCTCAGTTTTCCTCCAACTGCTTTAATGTCATCAACCAGCTTTTCATATCCTCTGGACTGCACATCAATGTCAGATTTGCCATTTCTCTCACCCACTTTGATTATGTCTGTTCAGATAGGTCCATTTATGTCTGCTACAGAAGATGACACGAGAAAATGGAGTGAAGCTTAGTGCAAAATTCAGTGCATGTTCCTCTCCTTCAGAAAACTTGGTGAAGGCAGATAACACAGTGTTCTTTAAATATGGCAATGTTTCTGAATGCTTACTTGTTTCGCAAGCAACAACATTTCAACTAAAATAAAATAGCCAACTTCATGCTCAGATCATTTAGTTCTTTGGTTTTCTTTCACATGACTGCAGCTGAAACCTCTAGCCAAAATCAGATATGCCACATTACCAAAAGACCTGTGTTTCTCTCCTCCCATAGGTGATAGAAACGTCTTGTGAGTTAAATTCTTCCGTACACAATTCTATAGATGGCAAATCATTTTCTGTGAAAGGGAGTGACAGAGTGGCTGAAAATTAGTGCTTTGATTAAATACTCCATAGACATTTCTCTTGAAAAGGCTACAGCCTACAAACCCTACAAAATGGAGATAATACTGCTTAGGGAACTCTCTTTTCCTGAGCTGGAGCTAGCCAAAACCATTTGGGCACAATTTTCAGTGTTAATGTAAACATTTTTTTGCATTGTGTGTGCTTTCTGAGCCAATCGGGTAAGTAGATAAAACACATTTATCTGCACTTGGACTGCTCTGGAGTTGTTAAAGAGCGGTATGAGGATTGTTTCCTCACTTTCAAAAATCATGTAAGTTTTCTCATGTTGTTCTTTCCTCTCTGTAGTGGAAAGTGAGCCTGGAAAGATAAGAGTTTCTTTTGTGTCCGTATGAAGAAAATCTCCTAATGGTGGTGTAGGAATTTTTCTTTGGAAAAGAGGGTCTGATGGAATCACCTGATACTGCTAATAAATGTGCAGAAATACAACAATAGATAATTTCTTTATTATTAAATAATTATGTAATAAGTGTAAATATTTAAGCACTTAAATCTTTACTTCCCACATCAAGAAGTTTCTGTAGTCTCCTGTATTTTCAGTGTGGTCTCTGGTAGCAATTCCCTTTTTTATATTTTGACTTCATAACAGACAAGTCATAGTGCCTGTATTGGTGCAAAGGTAGAGGTCACAAAATGCTCGTACTAGTTGTGTATCATGGCCTTTTGAGCCTGTCTACTCTCTGCATTGCTCTAGCATTTTTTGCTTTCCTGGGATGAGGAATTTAGCTGCTTGCAGCCTCCTGGCCAGATCTGTCTCTGGAAGTGGAATTCAAGGGCAGATGTTCTTGAGTAGCAACTTTATCTGTCTTCTGGATGTTCATGTGTATCGTGTGTATCTTAATAGAGGTTATTCCCTACTTTTCAAGACAGAATTACTGGAAATAGCACGTGTGGTAATTACAGGGAACTTTTCCTCATGTGTATTTTGGCCTGTTATAGGCTGCAATCCTTTAATACCTTAATACTTATAAAAGAATGGAGCAGTTCCACAGTTAAAGAAAATCCACACTCAAACATCATGCAATGTAGAAGTGACCAGGCAG